TGTTGTTTGGACACATCGTTTGACCCTGTATGCAGAACAATGTTTGTCACAGTTGGATATTCATCTGCAATTTGAGGAATTCTCTCCTTCAGGATGTTGACCATATCGTTAGGAAAGCAGAGGACTTTAGTGTTCTTACTGCACATGCTTTGTACATCCTTTACGGCAGAGTCACCCACAACTGAAATTTAACAGAATTTTCGGGAAATATAAAATAAAAGTGCATGAGACCATTTCCATCTATTACTGTTACGTGCTTGTTGTGAGGTGTAATAATGTACTGTATGTTTAAAACAGCATCACTCTACTGGGGCAGCTCTTATTCCCTGTTTATCCAAGCTAGAACTAGCTTTAGATTGGCTGCCCCTCACCTGTTCAACTTCTTGTTAATGCATTTATCTGACATGGCTTACATGGCTAATCAGGTAAATGACAGCAAATTGATACATTTAAGTAGACAAAAAATGAGCAGCTGACTTGTTATGTGAACAATCAGATCCTGTTTGTACCTTTGCTATGCTGAGCTGATTGCTTGAAGACTGAACTCTTTGCTTGGCACTTATCACCCAGGAATAGATGACTGGTTCGACGCCTGTGATGGCTTGGGCTTCACAGGTGAGAGTACAGATGGTCATCTCAGGGTTGCATGATTTGGAGACAGTGGGTTTGGGGACAGCAGCTGATAATTAAAAGCAGCAAACAAACAAGCTAATTATTTAAAATATGGTGGAAAAAATGATTCAAAGCGAACTTCAGTCTGAATTTGTCCACTTACAGATAACAGTGATTTTAGTCGGGTTCATGACTCTGTTGTTGATCTCTGCTGTGTAGATGCCGCTGTCCTTTACAGTCAGGTTTGAGATGGTCAGAGCTCCAGTGTTGAAATCAAGCTTACACCGACCTAAGAACATGACCATAGTAGCATGATGTGTTTCAATAGATTATTAGGTAGTTTCACAATTTTTTTGTCTGAAGATGGCAGCATGAAAACATATCATATAGTCTGTGTATACACAGAGTTGTTTGCTGTTAAATGTACCTTTAAACTCCCGGTATGCGAATGTTTCCTTGCCGTACCACTCCACAGCGATGTCCGGGCCGTGTTTCCACGTGATGCTGGTGATGAGATTAGGCATGGAGCCTGGTGATAGGACAGCTTCGTCTCCCAGTTTCTTGTAGGTGGCCCCATTGACTGCAAAATAAAAACATGACTTTCTCTTGTTTTTAAGCATTTGCAGCAAAATGTACAATATCACAAATATCACAGGTTAGCATAACTAGCAATGAAGCTACAATATGTAACCAAGTACCAGTGAAAGATACTATTTTGATTATTGCTGATGGTTCATCAATTTATGACCTTATAAATATGACTTTATACTTTGCAGTGTTCATTGGTTAACTAGCTATAGTTAAAAATGTGCCTTTGAAAATACAAATTAATGATTCCAGCTTTTCCAAATATATATAAAAACAGTTCAGGCCCATTTGGGGGCTCCTCAAGCTGAACTCAGAAGGACATTAGCGGTCAGTGTCCACAAGAGCCAGGATATCTTCTGTTTTGCCCACCTTCACCGATGATGACTTCACATTATAAATAGAACTTTTAATTGACATTAATTAATTAATTCACTTTAAACATGGCTTGAACAGAATGACTGACACTACACTGAGATGACAGACTACCAGTCTTTTCTCCCCTCTGTGAAGAGAGAACCTGTGAACCTGATTCTGCGCATTAAAGGGAGAATTTGTATGAATTAGAAAATCTTAATGTAAATGCAGCTCTTGTCCAAATGTGGCAGTGCAGTTTCTTATGTCTGTTACTTCAACTGCTGAAAGTAAAATGGACTACCATCATGTGGTTAAGAGACTGAAAAAAAGGTAAAAGAAACGACGCTGTGCATGCTTCCCCTCTTATCTGCTTTACCAAAAACAGTTATTTAGCTTACTTAGTTACTTTTGAGACTTTTTCTCAGGTTTGATAACTAAAGTGTTCATCCTAAAACTGGTATATTATACTGAAAATTGACTTTTATTACTCACTCTGAATCATTCTTAAATACTACTACTACTACTATTTAAATAACTAGGCTGCTTTCAAAGGTAACCTTAAAATATGAACTCTGTTGAACCGTGGCTTGTAAAAATGAAAAGGATTGAATGTGTTTGCAAGCAGTTTGCAAGCGCTTCACTATTAACACCTAACATACTTTATTGGAGGGTGACTGAAAAATTCCACCGCTCTATCTTTCAAGTTGTTAGAGTGAAAATATACCTTTAGTTGGTTTTATTTTTGGCTCAGTTCTTGTTTTCAGTAATTTATGGGGCAACCTGATATCTTTTAAAATGCAAAGAATTCAAATTTTATGAACATTTAAAATAGCTGCAGTCATACGTGATACATAGTGTGTTTAAACATCGTTATTAATTATGTGAAGTAAGTTCTGTAAACCTTCACATATAACACTATAGGTTTTATGTGTGCAAAATAGACATCTTTAGGTTGAGGCTATATTGATTACGTGTCCATACAAAAATACAAAACTCCCCAACTCACCTGAGATGACTCCTATTGCGATGGTCAGAATCATGAGTCCCACAGACAGAAACATCCTGTCAAAAGAGTCAAAAATATGATGGAAAATAGCAAATAACCAGCTGATTATATATGTGTATATATATATATATATATACACATATATATATGTATATACACA